TTTTCCCCTTCCTAACTGCATTGGCTAGAATCTCCTATAAGATGTTGAACAGAAATGATGAAGGTGAAAATCTTTGTGCCTTGTTCTTGCACTTAGGGGGAAAAGCATTTTTTTTTTTTGCCATCATGTATGATGTTAGCTGTAGGAATTTTGTAGAGGCCCTTTATTACACTGAGAAAGTTCACTACTATTTTTTCGAGAGTTTTATTATAAATAGATGTTGAATTTTGTCAGATGCTTTTTCTGTATCTACTGAGATGTGGTTCCTGTCTTTTATTATACTGATGTGTTTTATTACAGTAATTTATTTCTAAATGCTGAATTAATATTGCATCCATAGAATAAATCCCACTTGGTTATGGTGTGCAATCCTTTTTCATTACCGGACTTAGTTTTCTAATACTTTATAAATGGTTTTCCCATCTGTATTCATAATGGATATTATTCTGTAGTTTTCCTTCCTTGTAATGTCTTTCTCAGCTTTGGTGTCAGGGTAATACTGACTTCACAAAATGAATTGGGAAGTAATTTTCTGAGCAAGTTTATGAAGAATTGATATTATTTCCTTTTCAAATATGTGACAGACTTCATCAATGAAGCAATTTATTACTCAGCATTTCTTTAGGGGAAGATTTTAAATTACTAATTCAATATCTTTGCTTTTAGATTTGAGAGAGAGAGAGAAAAAACGTGTGCACACATGCAAGTGGTGGTGGAGGGGAGGGACACAGGGAGAGAGAGAGAAATCTCAAGCAGACTCCTTCGTCAGCATGGAGCTTGATGCGGGGCTCAATTTCATGACCCTGAGATCACAACCTGAGCCAAAATCAAGAGTCAGATGCTTAACCGACTGAGCCCCCAGGCTCCCGTTTAATTCAGTATCTTTTTTACTTAAGTATAATTAACATGCAATGTTATATTAGTTAAAGGTGTATGATATAATGATTCAACAATTCCAAGTATTTCTCAGCACTCAGCAAGTTAAGCATACTCTTATCCCCTTTATTTCATCCATCACCTCCAACTCCGGTCTACTCTGGCAATAACCAGTTTGTTCTTTGCATTTATAGGTCTAATTATGCTTTTGGTTTGTTTATTCATTTCTTTTTTGATTTCACATACATGTGAAATCATATGGTATTTGCCTTTCTCAGACTTATTTTATGTAGCTGTATACCCTCTAGGTCCATCCATGCTATTGCAAATGGCAAGATTTCATTCTTTTTGAAGGCTGAGTACTGTTCCATTGTATATAGGTACATCTTCTTTATCTACTTATCTATGGATGCACACTTAGACTGCTTCCATATCTTGGCTCTTGCAAATAATACAGTGATAAATATAGGGATGCATGTATCTTTTGAAATGAATGTTCTTGTTTTATTTGGTTAAATACCCAGTAGTGGAATTACTGGACTATATGATAATTCCATTTTTCATTTTTTTGAGACTTGTCATACTGTTTTCCACAGAGCCTTCATCAATTTGCATTCCCACCAACAGTGTATGAGGGTTCCTTTTTCTCCACATCTCTACCAACACTTGTTATTTATTGTCTTTGACTCTAGCCATTCTGACAGATAGAAAGAGATAGCTCATTGTGGTTTTAATTTGCATTTCTCTGATGCCTAGTGATATTGAGCATCCTTTCAAGTGCCTGTTGGCAATCTGTATGTCTTCTTCAGAAAAAAATGTTTATGAAAGTCCTCTGCTCACTGTTTAATTGGATTGGTTTTTTTTCCCCAGTGTTAAGTCGTATGACTTCTTTACACATTTTGGATATTAACCCCTTAATGGATAAATCATTTGCAAATATCTTCTCTCATTCAGTAGGTTGCCTTTTTTTTCATTGATGGTTCTCTTTGTGGGACAAAAGCTTGTTGTTTTGGTATTGTCCCAATTGTTTAATTTTGCTTTTGTTTACCTCGCCTGAGGAGACACATTTAGAAAAATGTTTCTATACCTGATGTAAAAAATTACTATGTTTTTTGCTAGAATTTTTATGGTTTCAGGTCTCACATTTAGGCCTTTCATCCATTTTGAGTCTATTGTTGTGTAAGCTTAAGGAAATAGCCCAGTTTCATTCTTTTGCATGTTATTATCCAGTTTTCCCAGCCTCATTTGTTGGAAAGACTATGTTTTCCCCCTGCATATTCTTGCCTCCTTTGCAATAGATTAATAGACCATTTAAGTGTGGGTTTATTTCCAGGTTCTCTATTCTGTTCCCTTGATCTCTGTATTTTTGTGCCAGTACCATATTGTTTTGATTATTACAATTTGTAGTATAGTTTGAAATCTGGGATTGTGACACCACCAGCTTTGTTCTTCTCCAAGGTTGATTTGGCTATTTGGGGTCTTTTGGTGGTCCCATACAAATATTATGATTATTTGTCCTAGTTCTGTGAAAAAAGTTGTTGGCATTTCGATAGGGATTGCATTAAATCTGTAGATTGCTTTGGGTAGTATGGCTATTTAACAATGTTTTTTCTTCCAATTCATGAGCATGGAATGTCTTTCCATTAGCTTATGTCCTCTTCAGGTTCTTTCATCACTGTTTATGTAAGTTTTCAGAGTATAGGTCTTTCACCTCCTTGGTTAAGTTTATTTCTATGTATTTTATTCTTTTTGGTGCAACTACAGATGGGATCATTTTTTCCTCTTTTTGCTACTTCATTATTAGTGTATAGAAATGCAACAAATTTCTGTGTATTAATTTTATATCCTGTGACTTTACTGAATTCATTCATCAGTTCTAGTAGTTTTTTTGTGGAGTCTTTAGGGTTTTCTTTACACAGTATCATCTCATTTGCAAAGAATGAAAGTCTTACTTCTTCCTTACCAATTTAGATACCTTGTATTTCTTTTTCTCATCTGATTGCTGTGGCCAGGGCTTCCAGTACTATGTTGAATAAAAGTGGTGAGAGTGGACATCTTTGTCTTTTTCCGGATCTTAGATGAAAAGTTCTGAAGCTGATGTTAGCTCTAAGTTTTTTCACATATGGCCTTTATGTTGAGATATGTTCCCTCTAACCCCCCTTAGTTCAGAATTTTTATTATGAATGGATATTGTACTTTGTCAAATGCTTTTTCTGCATCTACTGAAATGATCACATTTTTTCCTTTCTCTTGTAAATGTGATGTGTCATGTTAATTGATTTGTGAATACTGAAGCACCCTTGCATCCCTGGAATAAATCCCAATCGATCGTGGTGGATGATTTTTTTAATTTAATTCTATTTTTTCAGTGTTCCAAGATTCATTGTTTTTGCATAATACCCAGTGTTCCATGCAATACATGCCCTCCTTAATACTGTGGTGGATGATTCTTTGAATGTATTGTTGGATTCAATTTAACAATATTTTATTGAGGATTTCTGCATCTGTGTTCATCAGACATATTGGCCTACAATTTTTTTTCTTCATTATGTCTTTATCTGGTTTTGGTATCAGCATAATCCTGACCTTACAAATGAATCTGAAAGTTTTCCTCCTCTTCTATTTTTTGGGAATAGGAATTGACTTCTTTAAATATTTGGTAGAATTTACCTGTGAAGCCATCTGGTCCTGGACTTTTGTTTGTTCAGAGTTTTTCTATTACTGATTCAATTTCATCATTACTAAATGGTCTATTCAAATATTCTGTTTCTTCCTGATGTAGTGTTGGTGTTGAAGTCCTTTGCTTATCTAGGAAACTCTAACTCTTTTTCAATTCTGAAAAGGATTGCTGGGTATTCTTCGTTGTAGGTTTTTTTTTTTCCTTTCAGCACTTTGAATATATCATGTCACTCCCTTCTGACTTGTAAAGTTTCTGATAAAAACTCAGGTTATAGCCTCATGGTGTTTCCCTTGTATTTAACTTGTAAATATGTGTCTTGATATGGACCTCCTTGGGTTAATTTTATTGGAGAATTTCTGTGCCTTTTGGATTTGAATGTATGTTTCCTTGACTAGATTGGGGAAGCTTTCAGCTATTATTTCTTTTAAAAAGTTTCCTGCCCCCTTTTCTCTGTCTTTTTCTTTTGGGATCCCTATAATGTAAATGTTATTATGCTTAATGATAGTGTTGACTTCCCATAAGCTATTTATTCTCATTTTGTATTAATCTTTTTCTTTTTGCTGTTCAGCTTAGTTGTTTTACATTACCCTGTCTTCCAGATTGTTGATTTGCTCTTCCGTATATTATAACTTGCTGTTGATTCCCTTTAATGCATTTTTAATGCCAGTTATTGAGTTCTCTAGGACCAGAAACAGTTTAATAACATTGGAATTAGCTGTTCTTTAAAGGTTGAACAGAAGTAAGCTTTGAAGCCATTTGATCTTATAGCCTCCCCATCTGCTTTCTATGGTGGATTTAAGAAAATACTTTCCAGGTTTCTTAACTCTAGTAAATAACACTGAGTTTTAAAGCTAAGTTTCCTGTCTTGCTCCGGAAAATTACATTAATGTCATTTACCATTTGTGCTATATCTTTCTTCCAAGGAATTCTAATTGCATTATAGCAATTAGAGAAATCAGAATCAAGATATTAGAACTGGAAGGAACCTTAAGAATAATCTAACTTAACCTTCACATTTCATAAATGAGTTCACATAAACATTAATTTTCACATAATTTAGTTTCAGTTAAGGGGTTAGTTTATTAGGGGTAACTTCAGATATAGAAATGTTCATACAAGCTATATAGTCAGCTGAGTCAAGTAAAATTTGGTTTAGGAAATGTTGGGATCCTTTACTTTCCAGGTTTAGATGAAATGATGTTAATCCAGGAACTGAAATTCCCAACAGGTATTTTTTTTTCTTTATTGAAAACCTTCACTCATTAACTTGACTACCAGTTAATTTTTCTAAATCATTCTTTAGCTGTTTTTAATGTATTGAATGTGAATACTAATAGGAACAGATTATCATATATCTTCACTTTATTCTTCCCTAAAATTGGAAAGGTTTGGAACAAGACTGTCCTTTCCTCATGATCATGACTTTCTTCCACATCCAACTTACCAAGTCTTTGTCTAAAGCCCCAGGGACGGACTTGCTTCTTATGTTTACAGTATTCTCTAAGTCTTCTGGAAATGACCCACTCAGATCTAACTCAGATCGACTCCGGTCTGGAGGAAGGAAGAGAGAAGGAGAGATAGGAATCCAGCTAATTTTGTTAGAAGATTTCCCTTCTCATTGCAAATGTTTTATCTTTTTTCCCATTCCTTCTAGGTACAGGGCATAGAGTGTCATAAAAGCAACAGTCAGAGTCAGTAACTCATGCTGTTTACACTAATGTACTTTGTTTTTTTAAAAAAAGTATTTGAACACTGGGATACAGATGGCCCTTATTTTCACTACATCTGTATCTTTGGGGTAAATACCCAGTAGTGCAATTGCTGGGTCATAGGGTAGTTCTATTACTAATTTTTTGAGGAATCTCTACACTGTTTTTCCAAAGTGGCTGCACCAACTTGCATTCCCACCAACAGTGTAAGAGGGTTCCCCTTTCTCCACCTCCTATCTGACACTTGTTATTTCCAGTCCTGTTAATTTTGGCCATTCTAACTGGTGCAAGGTGAATACTTTGCTTTTAAAAATATAATTTAAAAAATGATGCACAAGTCAGTAATGCTGTGGGCAACTTACTAAGGCACGGTTTACTTACACAGAACAGTTCTATATCAAAGTCCTGCTAAAATAGATAGAGTTGCTCATAATGAGAAAGACTAATGAGAGCAATTACATGCTTGAGTTTGAAATAGTAAATTAAATAATGCAGAAGGACTTAGGACAGTGCCCGACACAGAGTATGTACTCCATAAACAGGAGCTGTTGACCAGAAGTAAGAGCAAAATGATCTATGAGGTTGGCTTCTATGCTCGTTTAAAATTTTTCTCCTAATGGGAGAACTAATCTTATCGTCCCGATCAAAATGCAACAATAGCTACATATATTTAGAAAGCGCTTTGGGAGCCTCCCGACAAGGAAAGGCTCCCCAACTCGGCACACAGAATCCAGCCTCAGGCTTTATGTAAATATCATCATTAGGTATAACAGTTAACTTTCTCCTGTTGAGGATTTTGTCATGCTTTTAATTCTACACAAGGGACATAAGCTTCATAACTACAGCATATTTCTCTAAAGAATTTTCTTATTTATAGGTAATAAAATTACAACACAATTAATACCTGCTTCCCAGGGTTGCTGTGATAAAGAAGTGGAAGGATATATTGTACTGGAATGTACCATACAAATGAAAAACATTGTTATTGATACCTTACTGCTGCTTGCAAATAACTCTTTATTTAAACCACAGGATAATTCATCTGTCTAGACATAAGGCATTTATGTCTACCATGTCAAATGAACGATCATTTCCTTGAATTCCGGGAAAGCGCCTTTATCTTTCCATCAAATGAACCAATTCTATGTCCTACATTCCTGTACTGACATTTGGTACAGCTCTGAAACTTGGCAGTGATGCCTGACAAGCGTGCACACTTAATCAATGGAATTTTGCATGAATGCAAGAGGCTCAGGGCATCACCTGGGTCTAGATTTAAGCTTTTCTTATGGAATGGGACCACCATGATGAGTCAAGGAACAGATGGTGATTTTCTAAAGCATGGAACGTCCACGGAATGTCACACAAGGCAGTTAATTTCAAATGATTTAGTCATTTTTTTTTAAAAGAAGAGTAATCATGCCGTAAATACCCACCTGAGGAGAGGGAGATCTCAGACACCGCTATGGAAGGTGTACCAGAAACATTTCTGTGATGACTCTTTGTGAGGTCCTCATACGTGCTTTCGATGGCAGCCAAATCCATGGAACTTTCAAAACCATGTCGCTTCTCACAAAGTAAAAATGAAAAAAAAAAAAAGCCAACATTATGATGACTGTAATTTACTTTAAAAGCCTCCCATATGAATATACTTCAGTATAACCATAGTGGTGGTGTATTCCTCTTTAGGGAGGGCTGGTGGACATTGGGGAGATCCTCATCATGAATACAGAGAACCCTGAAGCTTACCATCAATAACTGCGCTGTAAAATCTATACCAAGAGGTTTGTTAATTAACACAGAAGTCATTCAAAATTGTGAGTGTTCTACTATAGGGTTAGCAAGAAAAATGATATAAGTACCTCCAATCTTACAGGACCCATATATGGGACTCTGGCTAGCTTCACATCCCCAGAGTAATGTTCAAGCTTAGTATTCTTCTTGTTCCTATGTTTATCCCCACTTTGAACACCCTCTTTCCTCAACCAACCCTTACCTCCTCTACCCCCACTTAATGGAAGACCATGACCCACAATCCAGGTGAACGCATGGCATAGAAGGTTCCCCAGGATACTGCCCCTGCCTCAGGCCCAAGTCTGTGCTGATTGCTCAGTGCCACATCAGTTACTAAATATTTTGAATATCATTCCTTGTTAGGTTGCCAAGAAGTAAGGGTAATCATCAAATATCCACACAGTTTTCTGGCTATTGAACAGTACCACTCACCGAGCTTCATATAAAAATTTATGAAATTTTAAATATGCTTTTTACCTTATCAGCAAGTACAATTCAGACTTTAAATATTGAAAGAAATGTTCTATTATTCTTCAGTCTGTCTGAATGCCTTTTGGCATTTCCTTAAAAATATTACAGAATCTGACAGTTCCTAGCCTCTGCTTTTTTTTTTTTAAGTTCATGATTATTTTTCTGAAGTCACATTCTAGGAAGAGTCGATATTTTAGATAAATAACTTTTATATTCAGTATTTAGCTACTTTTGTTATTGAAGCATTGTTCACATATAATGGTAGTGTCAGGTAGATAACACAGTGATTCAACAATTGTATACGTTTTGCAGCACTCACCACAGTAAGTTTAGTCACCATTTGTCACCATACAATGCTTTTACAGTATTATTGACTCTATTCCCTATCTTCTCCTTTTCCTCTCCGAGAATTATTTACTTTAGAAAATTTTATACATTTTACAAATTTCATTTATGGAATAATTTATGGAATTTATAAAATTCCATAAAAGTTTGTACTTCTTAATCCCCTTCACCTCTTTCACCAATCCCCTCATTTCCCTCTCCTCTGGCAACCACGAGTCTGTTCTCTAATATATAGGAGTCTGTCTCTGGTTATGTCCCATTGGTTCATTTAGTCTGATTTTCAGAGTCTATATATTAGTTAAATGGTATTTGTCTTTCTCTGTCTGATTTACTTCCCTTAGCATAATATCCTGGAAGTCCATCTGTGTTGTCACAAATGCTATGTTCTCATTCTTTTTTATGGTTGAGAAATATTTCACTGAGTGTGTGTGTGTGTGTGTGTATCTACACCACATCTTCTTTATCCATTCATCTATCAGGGGACACTGGGGTCACTTCCATATCCTCGTTATTGTAAATAATGATACAATATACACAGGGCTGCAGATATCTTCTTGAATTAGTGCTTTGGTTTTCTTTGGGTAAATAGCCAGTAGTGGAATTACTGGATCCTATGGTAATTCTACTTTCAATTTTTTTTTTAAGAAACCTCCATAATGTTTTCCACAATGGTTATACAAGTCTGCGTTCCCACCAACAGGACTCAGGATTCACAACCTCCCCTTCGATCTCGTTCCGAAGTCTAGATTCTCACCTGCAGTGACACAATGGCATCCTAACTGGCCTCCTGGCTTCTCCATTTGTTCCCCCACAAATGCTTCTCAGCACAGCCCCCAGATCCCATGTAAAGAGAAGCCACATCCTCTGCCCGTTTTTTAATTGAATTTTTTGTTTTTGGGGTGTTGAGTTGTATGAATTCTTTATATATTTTGGATTAAGGAGGGCACTTATTATGATGAGCACTGGATGATGTATGGAATTGTTGAGTCACTATATCGTACACCTGAAACTACTATAACATCGTATGTTAACTATACTGGAGTTAAAAAAAAATTAATCCAGACAGAAAAACCAAAAAAAATTACAAAAAAGAAAAGCCACATCTGCTCAAACCCTCCAGCTGGCCTCATCTTATCCCAACTGAATGTCAAATTGCCTACAACAGTCTGGCCATGTTACATCCGTGAGCTAATTTCCTAGGATCCCTCCCTTTATTCACTTGCAACAGCTACGTTGGCCTTCTTGTTCTTCCTTGAACATACCAGGCATGTTCCCACTTCAGAGTCTTAGCACTGGCTGCTTCTCCAGGAGATTAAAAATATTTTAGCTGCTGGGTGAACAAGTGCATCGACCATTCAAGATGGAGGCTGGCCATAAGTAACCGGAACAGCCTTCCCCATATGTGTACATCCTGAATATCAGTGCTGCTCCTGCCCGAAGGGACACCTTGCTACAGACTCCTGCATGGCTGATTCTTTCACTTCCCACCACCTTTGCCTGACTAGGACCAAGATTTCTTAAATATACATGCCAGCTACATTTATGGAGTTTGCTGCTTAATCAAAAAAAAATAATCTAGATGCTCAGTCATTCAAAGGAACAACTTCCACGTTCCATATATATTTTATGCATAATGCGATTTATGTCTTCATTATGTGTTGGTCTCGAATTTTAGCAGTGTTCTAGAAAGGAAAACTATTAAAAATTTTCAAGAGTCTACTTTTCCTGATTTAAATCAGTGTGGAAAATGTTTCGTGCAGGCAACTTACGAGTATCTTGACAGATAACATGGAGGATTAAAGGGGAGACTTCTAAACATTATTCAGGTTTTGTTTAAACCATATAACCGCCACCTTTGAGCCTGCTCCTTCCCTTTGCTTCTCACTTCTGGCTTCCCACCAGGAGCAAAGGATGAGGAGGCTCAGTCTTGATAAAGAAGTTTCTACAATTAAGCAGCATAAACAGCATGCTTCGAGATACAGAGAACCCAAACCCAACCAGGCCATGATGGTGTGGTCAGGTCTCAGAAGCTGGGGGTCCTTTTGCATTTGGTACTTACTCGAATGCTGACTGAGGCCACACTGTGTGTGCTTGGGGCTGGTGACCTCTGAGTGATGGAGGTCACACCACTGCTCCGGCTGCTTTTCGGGGTTGAGGGGCCAGCTTCCTGGTCATTAAGATCGGATGAACCCGTGCTTCCCCTAAAAGAGAAAGAATATTCTGGATTTAACATGGTCAGCAGCTACCATTTCCCTTTCTTCCTCAAAGACTCGCTAGATTCAAGCCCATCTGTCTGACTCCAGGGTTTTTGAAAGTGAGCTTCGTCCTTCCATTCCAGCTTTATTTCCCACTGCTCACCAGCATTCTCCCAGCTCCCAGACAGCCTCCTCGCTGTCCTCTCAACCCACCACACTCATGGCTCCTGCTTCTGCTTCTACCTCTAAAGCTTTTGCTGACACTCTCTCCACCTGATATGCTCTATTTGCCACTCCCTGTTTATGCAAATCTTCTCCATCCTTGAAGGCCAGGCTGAAGTCCAGCCTCCCCCATCAGGGTTTTCCTGACATTTACAAGCCTTGTCAAGCTCTGCTCTGCTCAGTTCTTGTTGACTTACAGTCTTGACCCAACTGTGTAGTCCTTGACTACAGAATGTCTTATTTGGCTCCCCAAGAGATACACATATGTACGCCTTGGTTCTTCTTTCAACCTAAACTCCCTGGGGACAGAGTTCATATTTACCATGGTATCTCCACCACCTTCATAACACCTTGGTGCAAAGGAGGCACTCAGTACATATTTAATCAAAAAGTGGAAATTATGTTGTATTTCTCTGTGTTATTTCAGCGTCTGACTCACGGTACAGATTAAATAAACGTGGTATAAAAATAATGACATTTGGTAAATGGGTTTGACTCACTTTGTTTGCTAAAACTGATTCAATTCCATTCAATAATGATTAATAAAAAAAATAGTTCCTGCCCTTGAGGTGAACACAATTTTCTCATTACATGGGAATTTCATAACTAAGTGTAAGTTTTGACAAATTAGAGTTTAAGAGAAGTGTCTGTTCTATTTCATTATTTATCCTCAGTGAGCACAAAATACACCAAGTGGTAAAATAGAAGCCTTTGCGAATTTGCTCTTTTATTCACTACTTATTAAGTTATAAAGGCATCTATAACAATAAACATTTTACTGTTTAAAGCCTCACAGTGATAGTTAACAGTGATTAGAACTTACTGAAAAGATATGCTAAAGAAGAGAGAAATGTTTTTTGGCTTTTGTTTTTGTTTTTTGTTTTTTAAGAATGTCTGACTGTTCATGTGACATTACTCGAAGACAAATCTGGCAGGAGAAAGAACGGGCATTGACCGCTGCAGCTATCATCTACAGCTCATAAGTTTTTAAAGACTGCACCAGAGAAGCCACTAAAATCACATCAAATATGCCCTGCCTGATACAACTATCTACCACCACCCTCCATCACTATGTAAATAGAAGCTACATTTACTGAGTATTTTCTAGGTGTTTGACACTCTCCATTCCCCAACATCCCTGTTTAGAAAAAAAAAAAAAAAAAGATATCAATAGTCTTCTTTTTAAAATTTTATTTATTTATTTATTTATTTGACAGCCGGAGATCACAAGTAGGCAGAGAGGAAGGCAGAGAGAGAGAGAGGAGGAAGCAGGCTCCCCACTGAACAGAGAGCCCGACACGGGGCTCGACCCCAGGACATGGGATCATGACCTGAGCCAAAGGCAGAGGCTTTAACCCACTGAGCCACCCAGGCGCCCCAATAGTCTTCTTTTAAAGATGAGAAAACGAAGTCTTGGAGAGGTTAAACAATTATTCCAGATATGCACACATGTGTCTGTGTACACACACAACACACACCACCACTACGATTACCACACTCTCACCTAGGTAGTACGTAGGAAAGTCAGGATAAGAACTGAGATCTGCCTGTCTCCCCAAAGCCTGTGCTCATCCCAGTTGTTCATACTGCTTACTCATTATTTCCCCCAAATCAAACTGATGCAAGAAGCAGGTTCTACATTGACAGACACAGCTATATCATGCAGAAAATAACCCTAGGATCAGAGAGCTGGGAGGTAGTTTCTTGGAATCTGATTAAGAGAACTAAAAAATTTCTCTGGGTAACATTCTTCTTTTTTTTTTTATTTATTTGAGAGAGAGAGTGAGAGAGAGAAAGCATGGGATGGGGGAGGGTTAGAGGGAGAAGCAGACTCCCTGCTGAACAGGGAGCCTAATGTGGGACTCAATCCCGGGACTCTGGGATCATGACCTGAGCCGAGGGCAGATGCTTAACTGACTGACCTACCCAGGCACCCCGGGTAGCATTCTTCTGATACCACATAGAAACAGTCTCTGGCTTCATCTAGAGATGGCACTCTGAATTAATTATAGATTGCTCAGGAGGGGTCAAGACTATGTCTTGATTCTGATGAAAGAGAATATAAAGTTTTGTGATTAAATAAACTGCTATAATTTGAAATTATAAGTTCCTTGGTAAATTTCTCCCTCAGGGGCTACACTTCCACACTTGAAAATAGTTCACCATCCAAGTGATTTTGCTCGTCTCAGAAGTCCTACTTAGAAAGGTTGTAGAGACCTATCCAGGAATGCTGTGCTGTGACAGTAGGTTCTCTACTCTCAGAACAATGTTACCACAAAAATCTCTCTCTCTACTCTTTTAGGTAAAATCTCCTTGGGGAAAAAAAAAGAATACACATGAATTTGGCAGAAATGAGCCAAGAAGTTACGACCCAAAGGGACTCATGGAGATTTATCTGTTTGTGCCTGTCCTAAAGGTTCTCCTTGACCCAGGTGGTTTTGAAAAAGTCCCCATCATGGATTAATTTTGCTGGAACCAAAAGTCCTACTTATGTAGAAGCTCAAGCATATGTTGATTAATTGTGGTGATGACATTCAAAAGGCTATCCTGTAATAAGAAAAAAATTCTTATAAGTCAGCTACTGAAAATTGTTGCCAGAATCATTATCTCAAAAATGACATATAATTTCACATTTGTCCCTGACATTTACTGTGAGCATCTCAAAAATATTTTCCTCTCAGGTGATTGTCTCAGTTTGTTAGACTAAAAAAGATTTTGTCTAATGAGGCAGAATTTCATAAATATTTGGATGCCAGCTCTTTCAGATGTTATATAAAAATATGACATGGAGGGGCGCCTGGGTGGCTCAGTGGGTTAAGCCTCTGCCTTCAGCTCAGGTCATGATCCCAGGGTCCTGGGATCGAGCCCCGCATCGGGCTCTCTGTTCTGCGGGGAGCCTGCTTCCCCCTCTCTCTCTGCCTGCCTCTCTGCCTACTTGTGATCTCTGTTAATAAATAAAATCTTAAAAAAATATATGACATGGAATACATAAATCTTTGCCACTTAAATAGGAAGAAGATAAAGTTTAAATTCAAGAAGTTTAAAGTTCAATTAAGAAAGAGGGCAGAGGATCTGAATAGACATCTTCCCAAAGAAGGCCATCCAGATGGCCAACAGACACATGAGAAGATGCTCACCATCACACAACATCAGGAAAATGCAAGTCAAAACCACAATGAGATCTCATCTCACACCTGTCAGAACTGCTAGAATCAAAAAGACAAGAAATAACAGGAGTTGGTGAGGAGGTGGAGAATAGGGAACCCTGGTGCACTATTGGTGAAATGTAAATTGGTGCAGCTGCTGTGGAAAACAATCTGGAGGTCCCTCAAAAAATTAAAAATTGAAATATCATATGATCCTGTAATTCCACTACTGGGTATTTGCCCAAAGACCACAAAAACACTAATTCAAAGGAATACATGCATCCCTATGTCTAGAGCAGCATTATTTACAATAGCCAAGATATGGAAGCAACCCAAGTGACCACAGATAGATGAATGGATAAAGAAGATATGGTATGTATACAATGGAATATTACTCAGCCATAAGAAAGAATGCAATCTTGTCATTTGTGACAACAGAGATGGACCTAGATGGTAGAATGTTCAGTGAAATAAGTCAGTCAGAAAAAGAAAAATACTGTATGATTTCAGTCATATGTGGAATCTAAAAAAACAAAAGAATAAACAAACAAAAAGTAGAATTAGACCTATAAATACAGAAAACAAACTGGTGGTTGGAAGGGAGGGGGATGGGCAAAATGAGTGGAGTGGGAAATAAAGTCTTCCAGGCATAGAGTGAAGAAGTCACAGGAATAGAATGTGCAGCATAGGGAATATAGTCAATGGTATTGTAACAGTGTTGTGTGGTGACAGATGGCAGCTACCATTCCAGGGAGCACAGCATAACATATAGAGTGGTTGAATCACCGTTGTACGCCTAAAACTAACGTGATCCTGTGTGTCAGCTGTACTTAAAAAAATGAATGAGCTATTTTTTTTAGATTTGTATTTATTTATTTGCAAGAAAGAGAGAGAGAGACGGAGCACAAGCAGCGGGATCAGCAGGCAAAGGGAGAAGCAGGCTCCCCACTGAGCAGGGAGCCTGATGTAGGACTTGATCCCAGGACCCCAGGATCATGACCTGAGTTGAAGGCAGATGCTTAACCAACTGAGCCACCCAGGCATCCCTGAAAGAGCTATTCTGATTCACACATCATGTTACTGATACTTAAATCAGAAGTATTACAAATCAGCATCAACAAAACTTCAAGCTAAAATTTGCTTAAAGTGAAACTGGCAAGAAAGAGGTATATTTTTCCTGTTCTAATAGAGCCCAAAGTGTGGGGATAGGACAATGCCTAGGGAGCTTGGACATTCCAGCTTACTTGAAAGACATATTTCCTAGAGGAGGAAGCAGTCTCATTTACTTTAGCTTATGAAATATACTATAAAAGCCTTCCATTTTATTATCTCTAATATCATGCTGGCCCCAAATCTTGATAATGGCTTTCTAGATGTATCTATTTTATTTATTTATTTATTTATTTATTTATTTATTTAGTCAGTTAGTTGTTTGTTTAAGAGGGTGGGAGAGAATGAGAAGGCGGAGTGGCAGAGGGAGGAGAAGCAGATTCCCCGCTGAGCAGGGAGCCTGATGCAGGGCTGGATCCCAAGACCCTGAGATCATATCCTGAACCAAAGTCAGACCTTTAACAGACTGAGCCACCCAGGTGCCCCTAGATCTATCTATCTTTCTAAGGATAGGGGAGAGAGACTATA